TGTTTGAAGTCATATCTCAAACACAATTAGCACATATAAATTCTTTCAAAATCGCACAGATCATTCGTCTTATAGTCATACAACTATCTGGAAAGTTTAAAGAAAATTTATCAGTAGGATCTCGAAATATGTGCCTGCATTCCGCTAGAAACCGCCAATTTGGAGATACTTTCTTGTGTTTGAAGTCATATCTCAAGTTTGGCACATAGAAAATCGCCTTAACTCGCTCAGATTATCTGTTTTATAGCCTTGTAACTATATGGAAAGTTTAAAGAAAATCTATTTGTCAGATCTTGAGAAAATCAAAAATATATTCTAAGTTATTCACTAAAACACTCTATTTTCGAACTTTTCATTTGGAAAAGATTTGTCGAAAGTCCTTCTGTTGCCACTCAGGTAGTACGATTTATCTGGAGGGCGCGAAACGGAATTCATAATAAAAGCTTTAAAAAAATATTCACGTTGGTCAAACAACGCGCCTGGTACGCGCAGCATTGATCTTCAATTCGGCACGTGTACCTAACTGTACAAATAAATTATGGTATAATTCCACAGTCATATGTTTTGCCTTTCGGTGAAATTACATGAACACTTTCAGTATGATTCATAGCTCAATACCATTTAAAAGGACATGATTGCCAACCTCAGTTCGAGATATTTGCAAAAAATCACTTTGCTGAAGATCAAGTTATAAGCATGTTTGACGATCCTCGCTAATTAATTAAATAACATTGAAACCAGCATGCAAGATAAGATAAGTGATGTGCTCCCCATAGGAGGAGTATAAATAAGCTCATTTCTGATTAGTGGTAACGATTCATCACATAATCAAGGACTGACTTGAGTTCAACGATCATATCCCAATTCCCAATCATAAAGAAAATCGTCTATCAAGACTCGATGCTGATGATAACAAATATAACGGATCAAACTGACGAGACTGCTGATTAGATGGGGCTACAATTACGGAGCTGATAAGCTGAAATTAGCAACATTCCTTACCTTTAAACGGGTTTGTATAAACAGGCCATCCTACCCAGATCCCAGAAATGAACAGAAACTCGGAGGCTGCGGATAACCCGACACTGTGCTTCGTTCTCCAACAAATTGGAGTGTTCTTTGGATGGTTGGTGATGTATCTGATTGCTGTGTACGAGGGGGCCTTGGAGAATATTGGAGGGGGCGGCCACAATCACTGACAAGTTGACTGGAAAGTGAGAAGGTTACAGTGTCACCTTATAGGGACTGGTGTCACCTAGGTTACAGTGTCACCTAGGTTACAGTGTCACCTAGGTTACAGTGTCACATAGGTTACAGTATCACCTAGGTTACAGTATCACCTAGGTTACAGTGTCATCTAGATTACAGTGCCACCTAGGTTACAGTGCCACCTAGGTTACAGTGTCATCTAGATTACAGTGCCACCTAGGTTACAGTGTCACCTAGGTTACAGTGTCACCTAGGTTACAGTGTCACCTAGGTTACAGTGTCACCTAGGTTACAGTGTCACCTAGGTTACAGTATCACCTAGGTTACAGTGCCACCTAGGTTACAGTGCCACCTAGGTTACAGTGTCACCTAGGTTACAGTGTCACCTAGGTTACAGTGCCACCTATGTTACAGTGCCACCTAGGTTATAGTGTCATCTAGGTTACAGTGTCACCTAGGTTACAGTGTCACCTAGGTTACAGTGTCACCTAGGTTACAGTGTCACCTAGGTAACAGTGTCACCTAGGTAACAGTGTCATCTAGGTTACAGTGTCACCTAGGTTACAGTGTCACCTAGGGACTGGTGTCACCTAGGGACTTGTTTATAGTATATTTATTTTCGCTTTGAACACTAATAATAGGTCAAAAGCGTTTAGATCCGGCCGGTTTCGGAATAGAATTAAATACATAGTTAGAATTTAGATAATCGAGTCTCTAATAGTTGTTATTACTTTATTAAAACCATAACTAATGAAGTATCCTAATTGATGCCTATAATGAAAGTGAATCCCTTATATTATAATATAAGATAGTGAAGAGAATTTCATTATCACCTTGAAGTTTTCTGAGCCAAGCAGACTTCTTTTCGCCGATTTAAGCGGGAAAAATTGAAAATATTTTGTATCATCAACTGCGATTAATATTATCAGTCGATGCAAGGTTTTATTTATAAAGATTTGTTAGTTTTAACTTGATATTAAGTAGGGGATTTATTTGTGATTTGAATTATTCGCATACATATTAAATATAGCTTTTATCACAGTAAATTTGTAAGTTTATACTTTGTAGCTTTAGTAATCATTAGTTTTTAAGTATTAACTGATCGGTTCAACATTTCGATTATTCCGGGCCGGGGCAACGCGGCCTCATCAACAATCGCGAAATTAATTTAGGATTAGATGCATGACACTTAACGTTTGAGAATAAATTATTCGACTTTATTTCATTTCAGTATTTCTTGTCGTTTTCAATATACAGCGTCAGCTTTGTATTCTTGTTAGCCAACTAAAATATCAGGAGAAATAAATTCAATTCTATAAGCTCGGCAGTTTTAAGTGACGGGAAAATTCGACTTAATAATCATTATTCCTTATGCCAGTTTAGGATAATGAAACTTTAGAAACAAAATAATTGTGTAATTGAAGGAATATAATATGTTTGATATTGTAAGATGTATTATACATTTTCTCTCACGGCTATGAAATCATTTTAGCACTTTAGCAGGTAAGTTTTATCCCACGACCATCAGTACCCATAAATTTACACAGTCTCGCTCGCGGTTATGATTCCAAACGCCTGCACAAGAGCTAGGCTCTTGTTGATTGCCCCTTGAAGACCCACAGATATGGCAGATATGATAATAATCAGAGGCAAATATTTAGTATACTATAATAAGTCTGGGGAAGTCTACTATAAGTCGATAAAATATCTGATTAAAGTCTATGAGATTCAGAGTCTGAACAGAGTCTATCGAACATAAGTTCTGTCTCAACCAGTCTCTCAGAGGCAGCTGGTGTGGATACTAGTCCCCCCTCTAGTCTGTAGTCTGTGGTTGTACTTTCTAATGTCTCTAATGTCTGTTTTATAAACTGCCCACCTTAACCCGACTATATTTACAGATCCCGCTAATGAACTCCCAGTCCCGGGACAGTAAACGTCCCTTCTTAACACTTATCCTACAACACTGTGGTATTGTGGTTGGGTTCCTGGTCATGTGGGTGCTGGCTCTCTACGAGGAGGCGCTGGAGAACGTCGGTAAACCTCACGATCATTGAGACAGTTTCCTGTCTATAAGAAGTGTTTATAACCAGTGTTTATAAGTTGGACCGTGCTGTTTGTAACAGCTTGTATTGGAGATGAGACAAACGCTTTCCAGGTTATTTTAGTCAGATATATGAGATATGTCGTGATGATTTATTTAGTGAAGTTGATATAATATAAGACAAAGAAGTGAGTTAGTTCAAGTAAGAGACAATATTAATTAGTAGAATTATAATCTTTGTCCTTCTGTTTGCATGATCCCTAATTGCTGAATATAGCAAAACCCCGATTTACCGCAACCTTTTCCTTCTTGCAAATAATGGCGTAACACACATTATGTTAACAATCACAACCCCAATTCACAACGAGCCTTGAATTTGATTTTGATTGCGAAGCAAGAATGCTAGTTTGCGCGGCGCGTCGAATCGGCAAAGGAATCAATTAGTGAAGGAGACTCGGTGAGAATATTTTTAGCTGCTAGTTTTAAATGTAATTTTAAACTACTTTCTTCGACAGAATGAACATCTGTTGCAAGCTTGGTACAAAAGCACTGATTGTTTTAATATTTTATGTTACGATTTGAATGAATGATTGGCGAAAGAGTAAGATTCTCGGGTCATTGTTGTGTAGTGAAAGTGATATAGCTGCTCGATGCATTGCTGGGAACAATGCCTTCTATAAGTTCACCAAGATCTGGTCTCAGCAGAATATCTCCGTTACCAGAAAGATAGCAGTATACGAAGCCCAAATTGTATCAATCATCATGTACAATTGCAGTAGTTGGTGTCCTACTGCAAAGTCACTAGAAAAACTAGATATTTGCCATAGAAAACACCTTAGATCTTTACTGAACATATATTGGCCTCATGGAACAATATCCAATGCAAACTTATACCTAAGATGTAACTCAGTAAAGTTATCAGATCGTGTCCCTAAAGCAAGGTGGAAGCTCCTAGGTCATATCTTGCGTAGTGCTGATGACTCCCCCGCTGCATTAGCGTTAAAGTTTGCTGTCACAACAAACTGTAAAGGGCGCGTCGGTGCGCATCGTAAGAATTTGTTCAAGATTATTGTGAATGATTTGACCCGTAGAGGTTTAAAACTTAACTCTTTGAATGATCTTAATAAGCTTAAGATATTAGCCGATGATAGAGTTGCTTGGAGAAACAAATTTTCACTCTAGCTGTCTTGATCTGTACTGATCACCATTTTAGGATGACTTGATTTCTTTTAGGGGTTTTGAATATTTCAATGGTGTAAACAGTTTCTTAATAATGTTACGATTTTATTTTTGTTTCAGATTCTCATTATTAATATTATAATATCCGTTAAACTCATGAAATGCTTAATCATTAATCATTTCGTGAGTTAAACGGATGCACGTCACGACCTAGTAGTAGTTCATAGTGCTGTACATTTTTCCGATAACCGCATGATTTATAAAAACTATAATCTGGATTTTCTGTAAACGGGGCTCAACTGGCGGGAGCGATGAGTTTTATATTGTATTTGTTGGTGTTATATATATTATATTGTCTCATTCAATGCATAATTGTTAAAATTTAAACCATACGGTTCATGTTTACTTTTAGAGTATAAAGTATATTAATATTTGACCAAAACCCATAATCATGGGTAGAGTGGACCGCTGCCAGTGTCTCTCTTTCCCAAACAAAAGGAAATGATATTAATTTGATTGACCGTTCTCAAATGCAAAATGATACCGAGAATGAAATCGGTCGCTCGCTTTTCCCATTCATTCACGGCTTACAATCAATCACATGTTGTAAAAATTCCTTTGGGTTGCGTTCGGGTCGATATACCTAGTATTTCGGGATAAGGGTTGTACTGGTAGTTAGTGAATTAGCTAAAGTTTATTGATTCTTTATTGCTGAGTACAGCTGCCTTCGGGTAGTTCTTCTTAATCTATTACAATTGTAAATTAATGGGAAAAGCGAGCGACCGATTTCATTCTCGGTATCATTTTGCATTTGAGAACGGTCAATCAAATTAATATCATTTCCTTTTGTTTGGGAAAGAGAGACACTGGCAGCGGTCCACTCTACCCATGATTATGGGTTTTGGTCAAATATCATCTCTTTTTGATTATAATGTCAGGGTACTTTATAAAGTCGAAATATAAACTGATGTCTTCATTAATAAGGAGGAAGTTTCAACGATTTCGAAATTTTTCCTTTAAAAACATTTCCTTGTGTTTAGGTAAGCATATCGGTCTATCACTGACTGAACATAAAACATTATAATCATTCAAGTTGCCATTAAATTCATATATAATGACATTGAACTGTCGTGGTAAAGCAGAATTTGTTCGAAATCACGAATGAGCAAAATTCTCACCGTTCGCACGTGCAAACTTTGAGCGGTTGTTGCGTGCGCATCCAATACTGAATCGCCGTAAATTTTTGCATAGCGGTATTTTATATATAGTTTGATAAGAGTGCAAAGTTTCAAAAGATTTCAAATAGAACTTGGATCACAGCGGGACTCCAAAGTTGATAAAAATCGTGAAAACACCAATTTTCAGTGATTTTAGCAATTTTTAATCAATTTGGGCGTGTCCCCACGTGTGCAACTTTTCGATTTTCAACTTTAAAACTAGCCTAATGCACAATTTATACCTATAGAAAGCATAACTGAGCTCCACAACCCAAGGGATAGCCCAACACCAGAGAATACTAAATCGCAAAATTGACGTTTTTATAAAATAATTTTTCAAAAAAGCACTAACTTCAAAGGCAAATATCTTTATGAAGGAGTAAGATAAGAAAACTTTCCGGTAGATTTTCAGAATGCCTATACAATTATCTAAGATAAAAATTTCCTCAGATGTTGAAAAAAATTACTTTTAAATGGTGTAAAATCAATTTTAAAAGTTATTACTTTGTCGAAAATCAAGTTTTAAAAACGGTTAACTTGATGACGTCATCAAGGGGTGTTTATGACGTCAAATAATTTTTTTATACAATATAAACTAAAGTGTAAACAATTATTTTCAAGATCTGTGGTCGGAAATGGCTGTATCTTTTATACTTTTGAATCTATGGACACTTAAATTTAGGATACAATTGACTACATTTGACTGTCAAAGCGTCTATCCCTGAATATGTATATATCACGACAATCTGTCGTAAAACAGGGGTTCTAGAAAACCCATTTCCCGATGCTCCTGAAACCTGAAACTTTTTTTGCAGTCGATTTGGTCAACGTCTAGACGCCCTGAAAAATTTCAGATCTTTAACTCAATTTTAACATGGTTTTTAAGGCACCTGAATATGGCGATTTTGGGTTTTTTACCGAATTTCGTATAACAGTGCTGGCGAGTATTTTATGCAAATTTCTTAAAAATCTCAACATAACTATTTTTTATTCCTGTCATCTTTGACATCAAATTAGAATGTTTTCAACTAAAAATAAATCTGCTGAACGACTTCCGATTAGACTTAATGCCTGAAAAACTCCTGCCGGAGGCGGCGGCCTTCGGCCGCCGCCTCCGGCCGGAGTGCACGCTTCGCGTGCACGAAAGAGGCGTGTAACGTATACCAAAGGGGGTATAATAGTAAAGGGGTATGATAGTAAAGGGGGTACATAGTATACCCACAATAAATGCAACGGTCGTGCTTGCCAGCACTGTGATTAACGAATAATTAGAGTTATGATGTTTAGTTGCGATATCTTAAGACTTTGAATATGATAAATAGTAAAACTGTAGTTTTACATTAAATGAGAGGTCGTTCACATATTATGCGTAATCAGCCGAATAGAAGGGTGAGGGGGGTTTCCAAATGATTACTCTAGTGTTTTTAATGTTGACACAATAGGTACGTGTAAAACTTATTACGCGACGGAGGGGGGTTAACAATTGGCCAAAAATTAATTATGTCATACGTGAACGACCCCTTATCAGTTAAAGGACCAGTTAACTGAAAAAAAAGTTATCCTCATATTTTGACAGATTGTGACAAATAGCAAACTAAGCAACGAGTCGAAATTCCTAAATCTCTAACTGCTCTCTAACGCGTGTAAATAGCGTTTGTATTATTTTGGCGATGACGTCATAAAGTCCCTCTTGCGCGCAGAGTAGCTCGTGAGACTGTATTTTACAGGTAAAAAATGGACATAATACAATCTTTTCCCCCGAATAACTCGAAAAGTAAGTAATTTAGGGTACATGTTGCTTCATAAGTTGTATATAAACATGGCCATTCTGCACAATTTGCACACATTCAAAAACCTTTAGGGCCTTCATAGCCCAATTAACCAGATACCCATAGTTTTGCATGATTTCTGGAACCGAAAATCAGTTTTTCGCCAATAACTAAAAAAGTAAGCACTTTAAGGCATATGTTTGTTCGTAAGTCATATATTAATATGCTAATTGCGGTTCTTTTGCATCCTGTCTGAAGACTCCATCACG